CAATATCCTTTGAATATTGAATATTGCAGTATTGCAATTTTTTTAAACCAAAAACTGAAATGTGTGAAAATTTTAATCAGATATCTAACAATAGAACTAAAAAAGAATCCAGCAAGTTATATATAAACAACAAACCATATTGATTGAATCGCCATATTGCAATTTGTTTAAATAAAAAACAGAAGTGTGTAAAAATTTTAATCAGATATCTAACAAAAGATCTAAAGAAAATCATCCAGCAGATCAAATATTGATACAAACAATATCCTTTGAATTAGGTACTCTTTCAAATAATAAATAACTAAGTAATTGCAATATTTAAATTGACTTTATATATTATTTCAATTTCTTTCAATCCTTTATGATTTGGTCATCTGTATATTATTGAATAGACAACTTTCTAATGACGATTCCCACGTGGATTGACGTGAAAGAAACACATTTATTGGCTCATTATTCATGATTTTATAATCATGTAATCTGAATAAATAATAAAAGAAACACACTGACCGAGAATAGGCCCGGGGTTTTTGAATATTTATACATAATTCAGATGCGTCAATTTGGAATTCCTTTATAATGGAATGGATGAAAAAAATTGATTTAAATAATTATCTTCAACATTGGTAAATAGAATGATTTGATCATAAAATCATTGGATGCATGAAGTCTTATCATCTTGGTCTAGAAGAAAAGTCTGAGGAATGGAGAGAACCTTAATGGATTAGGATTTGGAGAAAAAAAAAGAAATAACATTTGTTACCCTAAGAACTTTTTGTAACAAACCATGGGAACCCAATTACACTATTATACGATTTTATATCTTAATTTTTTTGTAAAAGAGCAGATTTTTAAAAAAATATAAAACAATCAACAATAAATTATAAATAACTAGATGCATGCATTGAAGAATAACGGGTTTGCTGTATAAAGAAGTTATTAATACACATTTACACATAAATATGAAAACGTAGTAAAAGGACGGTGAAGCTGTATATAGCTATATCTTAAAATCCTAGGCTCTAATTAATATTTTTTTAAAATAGTAATTATGCATACAACATATATAAATGGTGCTTAAAAGTGTTTTGGTTAAATTGCAGAAGAGTTAATTTTGAAATAAAATGCCTCTTCTCTAATTTTCTGCTCTGTTTAATGCAGTAAGTACCTTCATATGTAAAATATTATATCTCGATTATAATCATTAAAGTTAATCTGAGCATTATCAATTATCACTCACCGACAAGTTTATTCCACTCATCCTCCAAAATATTGCTCCACGTGTCCAGCGCCCTCCTCGTTCTGTTCTCCAAACACTGGCTGGTGCCCTCCTTCAGGAAACATGGAACAACTTGTAGCACTGCATTTTCCACTATTTGAACACCATTTTCATCCGCGGAAACAATTGCAAAAACTGACACAATAAAAACTATAAAACTCTTAGGAATTAACATGGTCGTAGCACTTTTTATTTATATAAGGATGTAAAGCTCTGTGGCACCCAGGTACCAGACAACTTCTCCCGCAAGAGTTCAAGGTGAAATGGCGAGACGGGGATTCTTCAAGCGTTTATAACAAACTACATCAGACCGCTGACCTACCTTTTAGAAGAAACCGGTAGAAGTTTGTGTTTGTGTACGGCGATATGTGTTCGTATGCAACATCCCACTCTTATCATAAAGTGGTATTCATTAAGCATTTGCCTCCCATTAGATGGTTTGATTTTATTTTTATTCTTCTCGTATATCCGACATTTATAGATGCTTTTGATACTGACCGTATTACTTTGGACGTCGGATGGTCGGATGTGTTAGTTTTGAATATTTGGTGACTCAATCGCGCACGTGAACGATCTGCATGAATCGTGCTTTACTTATGCGGAAACGTAAGATGGAGAAAGTCTATTTCCTTACTGAAAAAACTCACATGATTTGGTGTTTTCCACTGGTAATGATTAAATTCACTCTCGTAAAGGAGTAATAAATAAAAATAAAAAATATACATTTGATATGGTAATTCAAAGTTTTTTCGTAACTAGCATTTCGTTCGATTTATTTACAAAAAGTAGGCTCATTTATTTTTTTCCATGTAAGAAGGTATCTAATCCTCTACATCGTTCATACAAGCAGTTTGTATGTGTTATTATCCTTTCTTTTGAGCATTTTTATTTTTTATATACGCATTTTTAATAGCTATTAAACCTTCCGTTCTATAAGCAAGCTATTATACTCGAATTTCACTTTTTCGTTCTGTATTTATATGGAAACTCAACGGTTGACCTTTCCTAATCAGCGTTTCGTTCGATTTATTTACAAAAAGTAGGCTCATTTATTTTTTCATGTAAGAAGGTATTTAATCCTCTCTATCATTCATACTAACAGTTTTTATGTATTATTATCCTTTACTTTGAGCATTTAAATTTAAATTTTTTTTATATCCTCATTTTTAATAGCTATCAAAACTCCCGTTCTATAAGCAAGCTATTATACTCGCATTTCACCTTTCTATTCTGTATTTATATTGTAACCCAACGGTTGACCTCTCTTTATATAGTTTTTTTTACATAGGTAATGTATTATAGTGATCATATATTATTTAATTAGATGCATCAATGCCCGGTAAGAGCTACTTTCAAATATTTTGCATTTTGCATCTATATTTACCGACAAGTGAAAATAAATATGGCTTCTACTCAATATCAGGTTGCATTTTAAATTTACATTTACTATTGATTATTTCCAAGTATTCTAACGTGAAATTCATAAACTACATGTGAAGCAAATAGATGTCGGCAATAATAACAATAGTGTAAGTTATAAACAAGTATTTCCTGTTCTGCAAAAACTAGTTGGTACTATAGAATTCCGCATTGGCAGTGGTCTAAATTTCAAATTCCTGCACACTACCGTTTTTTTATAAAAATTATTGTTTAGCGGCATTTCACGAAAATCATCTTCATATTTTATCTTTTTCTGAAAACAAAAATTCAATTTTGCAAAAAATGATAGGTATTATATTTTTTTAGAGTGTGCATATAAAATATCATTTTTTCACCATTATTAAAGAATATTTAATTAATACTTAATTTAATTAACTTAATAACTTAATAATAATTTAATTAACACCGAAGGGAAGTTCGTGTTTTCGTCAGAGCTAATTTAATATTTTGCTAAATGCTAATTTAATATTTTCTTGATATTTCCAATCATTCTGAATCGTTTGATACTGATATTGGAAAAAGTATGTATGTATGCGTGTATACCAGTAAAATTAACTTTTTGATTATTTACATATACATATCGAAAAATCCATGGCAAGAGATAAATTACCAAATACGGTTATTAATATATCATTTATTTGTTTATTTATTCATTTGGTCTCTGATTCGAAGTTTGAAAAGAAAATGGCCATATGATCTAAAATAAAATGTTAAAAAAGGAGGTATATTTTATTGGAGATAAAGTCTTTAAAGCAGCGATTTCCAACCTTTTTTTCCTTGCGCCCCCCTTTCGAAAGAAAAAAATATTGCGCCCCGCCTTATTTTTCTAACAATTTAATTTAAATATACTTAATATAACTGAAATTATGCCAAATAATACACAGTATTATAAAAAATATGCATACAAACATAACTATTTATTATAAGAATTTTCTGTTTCACATAAGTAAGATCTCACAAATGGTAATAAAATTTCTAAAGCATTATTTCAAAGTAGAAAAATCGTCCTTTACTGGTAACCAAAACTTAACAATATATTTTCGTCCTGAAAAATCTGCTTCAATGTGCTATCACTAGATAAATCAATTATCATTTTCTGCTCTGCTGTTGAATGATCAAAATCACCATGTTTCTCAATGACAAATGGATTTCTAATCCATTCGTATTTGGACGTAATTAGATGTTTAAAGTAATGCAAAAATTGGTTTCGCAGACTAGTCATATGACTGATATAATAATAAGATCTTTACTTACTTCTATTTCATCAGTAACACAAGTAATTTTAAAAGTGGGAAACATGTTAAAGTTGTAAAGTTATTTGATACTAGCTATACACAGTTCTAATTTTTTCATTAAAGCCGTAATCTTGTCTTTCTGAACAAAAGCATGAATTTGAGATCCTTGCATTGATTTAATTAAATCGCTAAGTCTTTGAAAAATATCAACTGAATACGCAAATTTTGCAAGGAAGTTTGTGTCCTAAAACAAGATTGCTCCGTCTCTTTTGTTATCAGCAAGGAATATAGCAATTTCTTTTTTGAGCTCAAACACTCTTAGAAGTATTTTAAGTATTTTGCTGATTTGTTTTTGACACTTACTCAGCATTTAAAAATAATGTTTTTGAAACAGCTTCGCGCCCCCCCTGGGACGGTATGGCGCCCCCCCAGGGGGGCGCGCACCACAGGTTGGAAATCACTGCTTTAAAGTCACAAAGACCAACACATAGTCTTAAAGAATAATGTATATATACATTATTCTTTAAGATTATATTCTGATAGATGACACAAAAAAAAAATTGGCCTACCAATAAAATTTAGCCGTATTCCACAAAACTAGATATATAATTAAATGTTTAGAAACGCTCGCAAAAGGCCTCTTTCTAAATTATTTTTATCTTAAAGATATTTTCTCAAAGCATACGCAGTACATTATATGTAGAATTCTTATGGTAAGCAGATACTTAAAAATATATGCAGTGTAAATGAGTTTTTGCAATTAATTATTCAGCCGTCTTGCGCCTCATATGCTTTAAATGTATATTGTCTAAGAGACATCTTACTTAGAATGAAAAATAAAGTAGGGAATGTTTTGAAATTCATTCAAATGCTATTTCTTTGTTTACATACAAACAGTATAGCAAAAATCTTGAGACGAACAACAACGTGCGACAAATAAAAAAGGTACGATACAATTTGCGAGCCAAAAATTTGTAATTTTGAGAGTAGAACAATATATTTATTTATATTTTGTATTGTGAAAATTATTTTATTTTAGCGTTAACATGCAATTAGCGGCTTCTGCCGTATTGCTGCTTTTACTAACGACTTTTGGAGCATTCGCAAACAAGTTGTGGTACAAACCGGGATGTCATCGAGTTGGTATGAGAAAATAATCTTAAGACTTTAAAATTATCATTATAGATGTTTGAAATAATTAACTTATTGCTTATGTTAATAATTCGATCCTCGATGCACTTGAAAAGACATATGCGCGTGAGCGTACATGTGTATTTTTAACTTTTCGATGAAGTTTGTATAAACTTAAAGTCAAATTGGACCTTTGTGCCCCGCTCTATCTACTACAAATCCACACATAATATATTTTGAGGATCTTGAGACATATAGATATCTCTAAATTTTTATTATTGATTTATTGTGATTTTAATAATTTCAGTGTAAGTAAAACGATACTTACTTTAGAGCTGAAGATATATAATATTTTCGCCAAGAAATCTGATTTGATAATTTTATGTTTTCTTTATGTTATGTTTTCTCAAAGTCATTCTGAGTCCAAAAAAGGTGTGTGTGCATATATATGTACCTATATGAACCTAAATTTGACATTATGTCGACAAAAAATGAAAATTAAAATCCATTTGATGAAACTCGATGCCACTTGCTTTGATTAGCTTTGTGAGATTATCGACTAAGACATTTTTTTAAAATTATCAGAAGTGTGCAAAATTGTACGTACACGTTTTTAACAAAAAATCTTGAATAATTTTTAAAATTATAAAAACCGTTTGAAAGATACCAGTAGAGGATCCCGATAAGATAGGCCGACCGTTTCTTCGTAAATGTTTGTTCAAAATTATTTTTTGCGATTTCTCTAAAACCTTGTATGATGATAGAGTTAACTCTAACTAGCTGTAGAGTTAGACTAGTTAGAGTTAGTTAACTAACTATAGTTAGTTATAACTATAATTATAGTTATATTATAACTATAGATTTAATTCTGTGTATAAATTCATAGCCTTAAAATTCTATATAATAAAAAAATATTATTTGAACACAAAAAGTGGTTTACAAAAATAGTCAAAGTTCATATTAATAGGCCCTGTTAAAATTTTATCGTCACAATTTAAAAATATAAGTATATAGCATATTTTATTAACATAATTTTAGTTTAGTTATATATATATATATATATATATATATATATATATAATAACTCAAATAAATTTTTCCCAATTTCAATTTACTATTTTTTATAATGTTCAGGACATACCCGCGAAATAAGCATTCCAGGCTGTCGCAAATTCACAGTGGCGACACATGCCTGTCGCGGTTTCTGCGAATCCTGGACGGTTCCGTCCAGACACGGAACCTTGGGTCCATTACATTCAATAACTGTCCGTAACCAGCAATTAGTGAGCGTCGGTCAATGCTGCAATATCATGGATACAGAAGATGTAAGTAAATTAATCTATTAACTATATTTTTTCAATAAATTATACCATATAATAAATTATTTTTAATAGTGTAATATACCTTTTTTTTAAAAGAAGCACGTATCATGAAATATAACTGTGAAATAAATTATTTGTCCTTTTCTCATATTTGGTATCTTGCATGCAGCTAAATCTATAGTCCCAATAAACATTTCGAATTGAATAAAATATTCATCGAAAGCAATGTCCTTTTTAGTCCATAAATTTAGTATTGAAAGACTTCGAAGTAATTTTTTCCAACGGGTTGGTCAACAAAGATTCAATTATAATATTTTATTTGAAGTGTAGCACTAATTTCATATACTTGTATACCTCGAGATGTGAATTTATAAAGGTAAAGCTATTTAAATGTAACCGGATTGCGTTCAGAATGGTAATCAAATATTTTGTTTAGAATCAGATCGAATATAATTTTACTTTTGTTAATTATTTTATTTTAGTTCAATGCAGATTTTAAAGTTTCCAATCAATGCACAGTAATCATAAAGAGTAGATTTTGGTAACTATTTGAGCTTCAAAAAGTTTCTCTCTCAATTCTAAACATCATTTAGAAAACTGAAAATTGAAACAATTGTCTTTCATTATTACATTTAACAAAATGTAAATCTCATTTATCTCTTCAGATTGAAATTCCTGCAGCCTGTTTGGACGGTCAAAAAATTGTAACATTTAAATCTGCTACAAGTTGCTCGTGCTACCATTGCAAAAAAGAATGAGTTGGAATGTATTGTGAATTAGTAAATTAATTGAAAAACTAACAATCCCACATGAAGAATTTTTTGTTAAAATGTTTATGTTTTATTTGAAATTATTACGATATTTGCAACATTCTCTATTATTTATTAATTATATTAATTTGGCAATATTTGGTAATGTTAATATTGTGATATTAAAATTTCACATTTTTGCTGCATCATATATAAACTTACTAAATAAATCGAATTACTATTTTGTTTATCTGTAATTTTTTATAGTTAAGCATTAAAATATGTTATACTTATTAAATTATTTATTTATTACAACTCTTTTAATAATTGGGATAATATTTTCTGATGTAAATGCTTATAATGATATTTTTAATAAATGTGTAGTTATATAATTTATTTACAGATGTTTAATTATTTGCATAAATAATGCATAATCACTGCCTATTATCATCAATTATATAAATTAAGAAATATATAACCCATTATTATGACTATTCTTTTGACTTATCTTGTGAAGTTTCTTCTACATTATTTGTACTTTCTTTTGAAGTATCAGAACTTTCTGATTTTTTGAGCTCAGCATATTGTTCTAAGCTAGATACTAAATTACTTTGATGTAATGTTAAATTATTAGTTAAAGATAATGCAGCCATATTCAAAACATTGGTTAAATTTGCTTGCATTGTTTCTAAATTAGGAAGTTTTCCATAACTCAAGAACTCTGAGTGACTTAAAAGACGGTCATCCACTATTCCAGCTGAAAAATAATAAACACAAATAATAGTAGATATCGATAATAACCGATAGTAGAATTATTATCATGAAATTTAAACAATGTCAGACAAAATTCAATTAGTTTTTTGTATTATACTATCATATAAGTAAATCAATTGCTGTGGCAGAATTATTATTAATATAATGTAATATTAATTGTTTAACATTAAATTTGGTATTAATTATTTAACATTGAATTCCATATGATTTGTTTTTATAAATGTCATGATTCTTCCATATTTTACGTTATCTAGTAATTTAACTACGAAGATACTAATGCTTACCTAACATTATTAATTGAGGATATTTTTTCATTATTTTAAGCACTTTAGAAACTTTAATATCCGGGCTGAATATCATCACATTATGTGATTTAAAAAGACTTAGTACGGCTTCATATTTTGTATCCACAAGGGCCTTTTTCACTATAGCAGCTCCATATTGTTTCATATACATATTTTCATGTTTTAATTTAACCATTGCTTCGAATTCATCTTCCTTGTTGAACGTGTTTTTATGGAAAAATACTACCATTTTAGAATGATTAAACCAATTAAGACATTCTTTAGCAAGTATATTTTCTAAAGGATTGTTAACTACATTCCTTTTCGTAGTATCCACAGGTTTAGTGCATAGATCGATAATAGGTAATTTTTTCTTCTTATCAGCAAAAATTGGTTGTACAAACCTTAAAACTCTAGCTTTTTCATAATGGGGTTCTCGTGGTCTTTGAATATTAATTTTACCACGAAAACGTTTAAATTGCAAAGTTGTAGATACAATAGTTTTAGAACCTATAAATTTTAGGTTAAGCACATTATACAGTTTAGATCATAAAAAATAAATTGAATTATATAAATCTCACCTTTATTGATTAAAAATGACATTTTGCTAATTGATTAATGTATATTTTCTGTGTCACAAATATTTCTTATGTCAGATGTTGTAAATAATATTTAACATTTTTCAAGTATGATGGATGAAGTGACAGTACGAGTTTAACTCGTGTCCATCTTCCATCATAGTATAGAATTAAAATGTACGGTGCATGATTTCAAAATTAATATTAGTTCATTAAAAAATTCTTTCAAATCTCTAAACTTATGATAGCTGTTTTAGCAATAAATATTTTAAATTTTATCTTTAAATATATAAAATATCCTGTTATAAATATTGGTACATATAAAATTATATTAAATTTTTAGAAGATGAAATGATTTTGGAAGAAATACATAATTGCAATATTTTTGCCTAACACAGTTTTACACTATCACCGAATTTATTAAGAATGATACATATAAATTAAGATTTCAAATTTGGCGCCAAGCGTTATTTCAACACTTCTGTGTTTTCCCACAACAAAACAATGGCGCTGTTGAAATCCTCAAACTAAAATAATTTCAGCTTCTATCGTATTTAAAATAGGGCAGAGTGTCATGCAATTTATTTAGCAGAAAATACTGGTCCGATTATATATGTTTTTAAATAGTTATTGCATTTTTGAGCACAATTGTTAATATAAGAGTAAATCCTATTTTCCGGAGTGATTTAGGGAGAAATACTGACTTCTCCCCGTATCGTTTAGTGAGGCTTCAGTAGCCAATCATATCGCAGCATTGGAGCCCGCTGATATTTCGGACCAATCGTGTAACTACAGAGTTATTAGCGCTTGCGCTTGTTTTTAATAAAGGGAGAACTCCATTTTGCATTCGTCATTCGTTTGTTCAGGATAGTGATCGTTTGTTTATAATAATTAAGTTCCACTACAATATATATTAAGTAAAGTAATTATATCAACAATGGGTGACTATCAAAATGTGACGCAAGATGCTTTACAAGTAGCAGCCTTGGAGATGGCCGGCAATCCCAATGCATTATCCTTACGCCGACCATTTGACCCCACGGCCCATGATTTGGAAGCCAGTTTTCGTCTGACGAGATTTGCCGATTTGAAAGGACGCGGCTGCAAAGTTCCTCAAGAAGTCCTCGGTGAGTTCTGCACTTCTCAAACCTCAATAAGAAATTATTTTTAATTGCACACATAATGCACTTGCAATACAAGCTGCCATACAGTAGCTGATTCTGGAATTTTCCATTGTTTGCATTCATATATTCCATATGAGGTAGCCAAAAAAATTTTTGTTATGTGATGTTTGATATAAAATATTCTGCGAATTTTACGAAATGAGATGAAATACTTGTTTAAGAATTCATATTGATGCACATTATTTTAACATACTGTTCAATAATAGTGTTTTACCTAAAAATATTATCTACAGTTTGGGAATCGGTATGTTTATGAAAACAATTCGGATATGTGAATTTATGTTTTTGGCATATTTTCTTTCCAGCTGTCAAATCAACTGGTTTTACATGAATTCTCTATTATAATTATTACTCTATGATGAGTTTGAATAATTGCTTCTACAATTTATCATTCGCGATTTACTTAAAAAATGATTTTATGAACATGTATGATAAAAAAAACGTTAATTATAAATTTTAGAGGAATATTTTCTTATCTTTATTTAATAAGCATGTCCAGATCTGATTTTCTGTTGAATACTGTTTAGAAAATAGTCGAGAATCTGAAATTGTCTGTTGTTTATCAGCATTATCTTTAATTAAATATTTAATAAAAACATATCAATCTAGGTAAACTGGTAGAGTCCCTGCAACAAGATTATAATGCCCAAGAACATGAACATGCTCATTTCATGCATATGGCCATCCCAAGAATTGGGATTGGTCTCGATTGTTCAGTCACTCCTTTGCGACATGGGGGTCTTTGTCTTGTACAAACGACAGACTTCTTTTATCCCTTGGTCGATGATCCTTACATGATGGGCAAAATTGCTTGTGCTAATGTTTTGAGCGACTTATATGCAATGGGAGTGACCGAATGTGATAATATGCTCATGTTACTTGCAGTAAGTATAAGTTTTAAAAACATTGCTTTCATAACAAGCAAAGACATTTACTGTATTTTCAATTCATCTGTGCATCTATAGGTCTCAACTAAAATGACTGAAAAAGAACGTGATGTAGTCATTCCATTGATTATGAGAGGATTCAAAGACTCTGCACTTGAGGCTGGAACATCAGTGACTGGAGGGCAAACCGTTGTAAATCCATGGTGTACAATTGGAGGTGTTGCCTCAACAGTATGCCAGCCTAATGAATATATTGTGCCAGATAATGCTGTTGTGGGAGATGTATTGGTCTTGACAAAACCCCTTGGAACCCAAGTAGCAGTCAATGCTCACCAATGGTAAATTGAATATTAATTTGTATTAGACATTAACTCAAGAATGAAGTAAATTTGCTTTCTTAGATAGTCTATTTCTAGCTCTACTTGACATTTTGTATCATGTATTTGTATACATCATTGTTGCAATGTATATGTTATATTTTATAGGTTGGATCAGCCAGAACGTTGGAATAGAATTAAATTGGTTGTCTCAGAAGAAGATGTACGCAAAGCTTATCATCGGGCAATGGATTCCATGTCTCGACTTAATAGAATTGCTTCAAGACTTATGCACAAATATAATGCACATGGATCCACAGATATAACAGGTAATGTTACAGAATTATGACTAAAATGAAGCATTACCTATTTATATCTATATCAATCTTAATTTGAACAGGTTTTGGCTTGTTGGGACATGCACAAAATTTGGCATCTCATCAAAAGAACGAAGTGTCCTTTGTAATTCACAATTTGCCTGTGATTGCCAAGATGACGGCTGTAGCAAAAGCATGTGGTAACATGTTTCAACTGCTGCAAGGACATTCAGCAGAAACTTCTGGAGGTCTTTTGATCTGCCTCCCAAGAGAACAGGCTGCAGCTTATTGCAAAGACATTGAGAAACAAGAAGGTTACCAAGCTTGGATCATTGGAATTGTTGAAAAAGGAAATCGCACAGCAAGAATAATTGACAAACCTAGAGTTATTGAAGTTCCAGCAAAAGATTAGAATGATAATGATATGATTATTTAATTACAGAATGAAATAAAGGGTGTATGTCTGTGTCAACATTATGCTAGTTAAACAATGGCATCTCATTCCTGCTATTTGCAATGCTTCAATATTTTTTTGAAACAAATTGTTCTATTAATGCAAATGTAGATTTTAAGAATATATATAGATAAGAATTATTGTTTTAAGAGTAATTTTGAATCATGAAGAAATTTCTTGTATTTTTCAATTCTTAATAAAGTCAAAAGTAAAGACATTTTTTAGTTGAGATATTACAGTGGGGTACTCACCATTAACAGCATGGATAATGTGCACTCCATAAATAAGATTTTTTAACCATTTTTCTGAGGTATTGTTATCAAAAATCTTAAAAATACATTAACACTACATTTCACTTGCACTGTAATGAAATAGAAAATTCACTGAGCCTTATGCAAAATTAAAGCATTATTGTTCTTTAATGTCAAATTTTACCAATGCTTAATATATTTCAGGAAATACTGAACAATTAAATATTTATCTTGCATAAATATTGCATATGCCCAATCAAACATTTGTTTTAAATTCAAATATAGAACAATAATAAACATTTATATTTAAATGATTGCACTGCAGGCAAACAAACTGTGACACTACCTTATATTTCAAAATAATACAAAGTTTTAATAATATATAATTCCACACTTTACATAGCACTGAAATTAAATGAAAATTGAGCCTTATGCTTAGCTTTAATATACTAATACTGCTTGGTTAATATTATTGTATATGGTAGATGTTTTACTGAAAAAATTGAAAACTTTAAAGGTTCTTAAGGCTTAAAGTTTTATGTAGTTATTTTTATAAGCATTTTAGCAAGTCTGTTTCTTCTGCCGTTTTTGCCATTTTATTTTTATGAAATGGCTACAAAGTGTTTGCTATTTTATTTTTATGAAATATTTAAATTTATTTATCCGTAGATTTTTTAACGAAGCTTTAGCTTAAGAAGGCAGTAAACATTTACATTTTACTGACAGGCAGACAAATATTTTATAGGCGTGCCCACAGGACATTAACAAAAATGCTACCACAATATATATAATAAAAAAAACGTAACTACATTTTATCAATTTATTTTTATTACAAATTAGTACACGATATAACAATGATCAATTTATAAAAATGGCTTATAATAACTTAGTTTAAAATTTAATATTCTTGTGATGGTTGGGTCTTTCCTCCCTTTGCAGGTGCAGATGTATTCGTAGTAGTTTTCTTAGGTAATAAAACAGTTTGAATGTTAGGCAAAACACCTCCTTGAGCGATAGTGACTCCGCAAAGTAGCTTATTCAACTCTTCGTCGTTACGGATCGCCAGTTGGAGATGACGGGGAATAATTCTGTGAATGATAAATAGAATTACTCAAATTGTTCAAATAAAATTCCAAGCTACTAATTGCCTAGATACAAACCTTGTCTTTTTGTTATCTCTAGCTGCATTTCCCGCCAATTCAAGGACTTCAGCTGCCAAGTATTCCATGACAGCAGCTAAGTAGACGGGTGCTCCAGCGCCGACCCGTTCAGCATAATTTCCTTTTCTCAAAGCCTGTGAATTCTACCGACAGGGAATTGTAAGCCGGCGCGGTTGCTGCGGGATTTTGATTTAACTCCCTTAGCTTTGCCTAACAGGAAAAGAAAATTAGCCTAAGCCTACAAATAAAATATTTTATTATTAACTTACCTTTGCCACGTCCAGACATATTTGCACTTTAGAAATAAATATAAAACAATTCAAAACCAAAACAGATAATATATCTGAACTTTCAGAGCAAGTACCTCTGCGAGTTAACAAAGCGACTTAATAATAGTGAATAGAAAACCGAGGGAAAACGAAGCAGATGTTGCCCCTTCCCCTTATAAAACGAATTATAATGTTGCCAGAGAACAACAAATAACACTTCCCCATGTTTTAAGTAGTGTTGTCAGATGCGGACATGGATATGTCAAAATAATATTCAAAAGGGTAAAAATATAATATTCAAAAGACTAAAAAAGTTATAAGATTCATTTACATGTGATATAACCAATAAATACTTCTCCAAAGTATTTTTAAATTTCTGCAAGCGATATTTAAAATGTTTTTAACGAACGTTTTATTAAAAAGGGCTAAGAGCAAGTGAGTGGTAATGGCATATTTTAGCCATAAAAGTTTTATTTTCTGTTTTATTATATATTGCTTTTATCTTTTCAGATCTGTTATGGTACTCATGGAAAGTGTAGTTACAGGTCATAAATTTGTTTGGATAAGGGAAAGACTCGCTGACAAACTAGAAATGTTAAGAATAGATCCTTACAGTATGTATTAGAATATTATCAATTTTTATTTTTTGCTTTGCACTAGTCGTAATTAATCATTTTATTTTCAGTAAAACAAGAATGCATATATAAAGAAATTAAAAAAGTGAGAAGTGTATAAATCTATCATAAATATAGTTTGATCGTAATGTAAATAGAAATAAAAAACTTTATTATTCATAAAATCTCTTGTATTATAAAAATATCACATTCATGAGTGTATGCATTATATATTGAACTGGCTCATGTTCAACACATTAATCTTTTGATATGATGGTGACTATCGTGTTAATAATTTTATTTCCATTATCATGATTAAGTAAATTGAGGTAAGGATCCTTTATCTTCTCTTTAATAGTTGTAAAAGTTCTTGGCGCATATGCTTCAACATTTCGGCTATCTGTGATTGTTAATAAATATTATTTTATTCACATTATATAGAATATTAGATTAACTTACCCTATGATTGAATGCTTTAAATAAATCCATCCCTTTTCAATTGAAATAATAAAATCTCCACCTTGTAGTTCCACTTCTAAATGAGAGGAAATAAAACTAATGGTAACATTGCAACCATTGAGCAATCACGAATGAACACTTTAGAAGTTTTAACTTTTTCTTGGAAGACTAAATACGGACTAGAAAAATGGCCTACTGTATAGTTTACTGATGAAGGATGAATATGTACCTAAATAAAAAGTTTTATATAAAACTTGCAGAAAGAATAACATTTGTATATAATGTTCTTACATATCCATCGGCTTTTGTCTTAAACTTTAACTCTCCAGATTTAGGCAATCGGGGTATAGCACCAGATGCACTTGGTTCAAATGATTTTTCTGGTGTGAATACTTTCACTATGTTTGGATACAGTGCTGCACTTAATATAGCTGATAATAATCGAAAATTTTTGCTATTTACATTCAGCTAAAAAAAGTTATTAAAGAGATTAAAGTATTATAAAGTAAATTTATTTTATTCAATATAATATTATTACCTCATTCTGTTAGTTCTAAAATTCTGTCCTTGCCATTATTATTAGATGGATGCATAGTTATTGGGACAAACCCAATTGATACTAATAGTTCTAAAAGTTGTTGCTTAATATCTGCTAAAGCAGTCAATGTTTTGTAAGATAAAAAATTTTCTTCACTAAAATTTATTGCTGCCAAATGGCTAATTTTAGAAACTTCTTGCCATTTCTGAAATACAATGTTCTCTTTAATTGAAAAATACATCACAAATCCAATAAAATATGAAACAAATTTAGAGTAATAAGATTTACCTGGTACGCTCTAAGCACAGTTAGTTGATCACTATTTCCTGTAGCAAACTGTCTCTTCCTATTATCTGCCTGATCCTTTTTGCCAAATGGTGAACAAAATGGTGTTTTATAACTTAGACATGCAGCCATGGTTAATGCTGAGTCTACACAATGAAATATGGCACCAAGCAACATCAGTTACCAATTCTTACATCAACAGGCAGAGCTGCCAAATGATGGCCAAGGGGTGATAGATTATCCTCCAGATCCAAAGCACAACATCACGTAATCTGTTTATAGCTGATGTAATACTAGCTCTAGAAGGTGGTTCTAAGGTCTTTTCTGTTGAACAATAGAATTAGTAAATGGTTAATAATATTACTAACAGAGTTCATTTCAAAGTATGACTATGAACTTTGATAATCCCACTAGAACTTCATACAAATTTTGATTGCAAAATAACTCATTGTCTTAATTCTCAGTATCAATGGTTCCAAAGGTATCTATGTATTTCAGGAACTGGTTCTTTCAGAAAATGATAGTGAAACGATGACTAGTATACAAATGAATGCAAACACCAGGCATCACACGACCAGCGCGACCTTTGCGTTGTAAAGCATTAGCACGAGATACCCATACCATATCTAATGATTCCATATTGCGCCCACTATCAAATCTATAAAATTATAAATAAATTTATAGGCATAAATATAAAAGCATTCTATTTATTTTATTTGCAGTTATGAGTAGATGATATATAAAATTAAAATACCTTTTCTCCTTCATTTTCCACAATCAATTACAAAAACACAATCATCAATTGTAATAGATGTCTCAGCAATGTTAGTACTTAAAACAATTTTCCTGACACCTCGTGGAGGTTTTTTAAATATTGCAGATTGCTCCTCAGAACCTAATGTTGAATGTAATGGCAATAGCAAGAATGTCCAGTCCTTGAATAAACAAATTAATAAATTTCTTGCTACAGAATATAGCAACATTTAAATATTAACCGGGGTTTAAATAAATGATTGTCTTTCAAATGATCCATAACTGTTGATATCTCCGATATTCCTGGTAAAAAAATTAAAATAGATCCTTCTTTTGGCCAATCATGATTACCTACACAAATGTACTCAAGTACACGCTCTATCAATTCTGGATTTATTTTATCAGGGTCCATTAAATACAGATTTTTATAAGTCAATTTGGTATGCCCTATAAAAAGAAGCCGTAGTTTTTACCAGTATTTAACAATCTATTGCTTTAGGATTTATTGGATATAAAAATAAAGATTTTAATGTAACAAACCTTTATATCTAGCACAGATTTGACTGATATTTAAATTTTCATCCCGAATAGTATGACTAGGAACTGCTGTTTCTGTTATTAATTCTTCAAGGTGATTGATAGTATCAATTTTTTTCTTATTGTGAGTTGTATACTGAGAGTTATCTTCTTGCTATATAAAAATATTATAAACAATTATAAAATAAAATATAACATTATTATTGATACATACATTAAAATTAATAACATCCAAAATATCCTCAAGAAACAACTGTTCCACAGGATATGTTCTTCCAGGTATTTCCAATGTTGGCACACCACCGAAATATTCAGAAATGTTTTTGCATTTAATGTCGCACTCATAAGTATCACTTTTAAATCTTTTCTAACTTTAAGTAAATCTTTAAGCATCATTAATAGAAAATCACTTTCTCACTCCTCTCATGAACTTCATCAACTATAACATGGGTTATAGAGTCAAGATTCTTTTCTGTCAGAAATCTCTCAATAATATACCTTAAAGAGTTAATAGGGAATACTATTAAAATAATAAATTTGTATTTTATTAAGTGAAAGAAGAATTAAGTGCAAGAGAATGTATGATAAATAAAATGAAACTATATATTTTGGTTGCAAATGTTTTGGATATTTCTAAATAAAACTAATAACTTACCAGTAGTGCAGAATGTAAGTCTGGTCATTCTGGAAGTCTTGCTTTCCAATCGAATCTGGTATCCAATTGAATTTCCACAGCGTTCATCTCGTTCTTGAGCAACTCTTTCGGCTACACCTATTGCTGAAAGCCTTCTGGGTTGAGTACAAACTATTTCGAGATGAGATTCTGGTGATGTTTATTAACCAGTCATCCAAGAGAAATTGCCTACTTGGGTACTTTTACCACATCCAGTTTCACCACTTATGACTACAACCTAAATTTAAAGATTTTCAAAATAGTGTTACAAAGATTATATTGCAAGTCATTAATTCTCTTTGAAACTAGCAATTTCTATATTTTATTTATAATAAACTGATAATACTGAGCACCATAGAATAAATAAAAATCTCACAAAAGCAAATCAAGAACTGATATAAATAAACCTGAGATTTTTCCCAACATCTATGATATGCTGCATTTCACACCAGGCAGGCAATTGCTTACGCATGGCTATAAATTCTTTATAAAGTGCATTGGATTGTTTCTCAAAAAACTTTGTTGCTAATACACCATCATCCTTTAATTTGGAGCTGTTATTCACAGTACGATGCTCTCTCCCAGTTGAACCTAATAAAATAGAAGAGTATAGTATCAATATTATTAAAAAATGATTAAAAATCTCAAGTTGAAATTGATATTTAAAAGTTTAGAATAAAACATTTTTTTTATAAAAACAGTAAGTATTAAAAAAACTACAAATAATCAAAATACTGTATCTCAGTTATTTTTAGATGTAACTAAAAAAACAAATTAGTTTTCATAATAAAACTTTTATTAATAAATTATTATCTTCTTCATGCAGACACAACTATTAAAAAATAAATTATGAACAATAAAAACCTTTGGCATGATGAGTTGCAAATTGTTTTCGACTTTTGTTCTATCAGTTTTAGCATCTGCAAACAGCATTCGAGTGCAGTCTATGAACTTTATTTTTGTTGAAGAAATAAATTCATCCATATTTCTTCATTTTTAAGAAGTTCTACTAAAGAAAAAACACATGCAATTCCATCATCAGCAAGGTTCTGAGCTTCAGTAATTAATCTTTTACACAGATGCATACAGAACATATCTGGAAAATCTTATGTGTTGTTGTTAGAAAAATCATAGGTGGTTCAAATGGATATTTTGATTTTCAGTAAATCGAATTTCTAAATTAAATAAAAACCGATTCACGAACCAATTCTTCTTTGGAAGGTTGTTTCTACAATTTCATGTAAAAATCTGCATTTAATACCAAATTTACATTTACCCTTTGCAAAATTTCTACACTTCTCACATTTTCTTATTATTTGTTTAGCTTTTCATCTTTTATGATAAGATTTTTAATAGAATTACTATATTAATAAATTATCTAGTTTTAAAGTTAAACTCCATATTTTATTCAAATCTTTTTCAACAAATGATTCTTCATAGATTGATAATAATACATATTTTTCATCACAGCGTTGACTTAATAGCTCTTCATCATTTAATGTGCAATCAATATTTCTCTTAGTTAAATTATAATACTTAAAATATAACAATTCTAATGAACTGGCCACATCTCCATTAGTATGATCTAGAGCTTCTACACAATGATTTCTATGAAAACCATAATTTCTAATTTACTAACAGCAAATGCACGGAACTTGTCTTCCATGCTGTTATTCTATTTTCATCTTTTATATTCGAGTAATCAGTTACCACTCTGCACTATAAGTTCCCCTGTCTTCCAATATCTATAATAAGGAAAATCACCAAGAAAAATTATGCCAAATTGTAATTTTGAAGATTTTGTTGTATTAAAATATTAATGAACATTTCTGGGTGGCATACTAAACCCACACAAAAATATATCACATATTACAAATAAAAACGCGTTTGCAAATAAATAAACCAGAATTA